TAGTGTGCAAAAGAAAAAAAAATCCTATTTGTAAAAGGGATGGTGAGATTATGAGACCCTTAAATCCATTCGTTATTTTTTTTAGGAATGAACTTAGCTAAGTTGACATAACGGTCAACCACCAAATTCTGATATAAACTCTAAAATTCGAACTTTTAACTTTGAGGTGAGAAATTCAACCAATATTCCAATTAACTGCCCCACTCGGTGGTGTAGTGTGCAAATTTGATGGAACAATGTTATGCTTACACTTTAGGAGTCGAAGGCTAATTTGGTAGCTTTTAGATTTGTTGGATATGGGTTGTCGTGGTTGCAACGCATCGTAATTGGGCAAGATTACAATATCGAAAAGTGTTATTTTGGTATCATATTAATTACAAAAATAAGGGATTAGGTTACAACTAAATTTAGTGAGGTCATACCAAAATAGGTTTATTTCGGGTCATTTCTATCGTTATATGATGAGTTAATTATCTATTTGGCTCGTAAACTATACAATTTGTATCAATTAAGTTCCTAAAGTATAATTTGTGTCAATTTAACTCCTGAACTTAAATCATTTGTGTCAATGTGATCCATTCGTCTAAATTTGCAGTTAACTTTGACATAATTTCCCATGTGCGTATCACGCGAGTCGAGAAATTAGAGTATAGTTTAAGGATCATGTGTTGTGCACGTGAAGAATTCTATCAAAATTAACGATGAATTTGGACTGAAAGATCATATTGACACAAAATGTAGTTCTTGAACTTGATTGACACAAATAGTATAGTTCAGGATCCTCAAAATTTAACCGAATGTAACCCAAAAACATTTATAATTTTTGATAGGGTACTTCCTTGACTACCAAAATCTAACATTTATTCATATTTGCGAATTTAGATATTTTTAAATTTTAAAAATTCAAAGGTATTTTTGATTAATCTGAATCGAGTGATCTAGACAAATCTTGACCATTCAAAAAAAAATAAAAAATTCAAAGATCCTCTAGTGGTTGTCCAGCTAAAAAGGAGCCAGAATCTTTAAACCATAACCCTTTTCCACAACCTTTCGCCCTTTTACTCGACACCATCATGCAATTTCTACCCAAAGATCCTAAGATTCCTAACTTGTTCAGATGCAATTACTTTGCCGAAACGTTTTTCACACCTAACAACCTCATGCAATTTCTACCCAAAAGGATCCTAAAATTCCTAAATTTATGCAACTTGTTCACATGCAATTACTTTGCCACAAACTTTTTGGCTGTTTATTTTAAGATAAATCACTAAATCTCTTTTTTTCCCGAAAGATATAAAAATTTATCACGATTCCTAAATTTAAGAAATACAAATTTTGTAATGTGATCTATCGTCTTATTTTTCGTTTGGTTATTCGTTTGTTTTGTGTCAAATCAACCAATCAGAAATCATAAAACAATCGGACGACCAAAAAGAGATAAATCAGTGGTCTACATTGCAACGTTTTTTATTTTTTGAGGAAGCAATGTAAAAACAGTAATTGTTCGAAAAAGAACCTGAGAATTGTTATATCTTTTAAGGGGCAAAGTGAGATTTTTCCTTTATTTTAACACGTCACACCCTCATGCAATTTCTACCTAAAGATCCCAATTGTTCACATAAAATCTTGCGCCTCATCACCTAAATAAGGGAGCTGATGCCAAGCTCTAGTATGTGCAAAGCCACAAACTCTGCATAACCATCATAAATTCCAAACCAAAAGTTTCTTATCTTCTCCACTCATTTAGACACTCAAAAATCTCATCCTCCCAAATACAACACCATAATGAAACCCTCAACCTCAACAAACCCACGTTGAAGGTAACTCATTAACGTAGGCCAATTTGGAAGAGGTCTAAAATTAGATCCTAATAATGTTGTTCGTAATTTTTTTTTTTTTTTGTGTTATTTAAGCAAAATATAACTTATCTTCTTTAAACTAGTTTGTAAAATTTTGTGGAGACAATAACTATCTAGACTGACATTCTTAATTCTTGATTCATTTACCATTTACACGATAAAGACTTTTACAATTTTGACTTATATTCTCATCAGTGTGACACTACAAGGATGCTCTAGTCATTTTTAAAAATCAAACTTCCTACTAGAAAATATATATATATATTTATTTATTTATAGTTGTCTACGTTATATTAATATTTCGTAAAGTTAGCAAAGAAAGGGGAGAATATCTCTTTTATTGATTAACCCAAAATATTACAATTCAAATACATATCATTTATTGGATAAGTAAGTTCTGTTAACTTTTTCAGTTGGACTCACTTATTCAACATGGGCCTAGGCAATGGGCCGAGCTGACTTGAGATTTTTAGTTCCATAGCCTGTCTGTGGGCTGGGCCTTTGGGCTTTGACTAGTCAATGAGTCAGGTCGAGCTTGCCGATGAGGATTTTTAAGGCCCATGGGTCGAACTATTGGGCCAAATACGGGCAAGGCCTTATGGGTAGTCCATTGGACCCGAAACGAGTTTTTTTATTAAAAAAAATACAAAAAGATATCAAAAAAAACATTTTTTATATAAAAATTACAAAAAGACATCAATTACATTAAGTTGGTATGAAAAAATAAATTAACAAAAAATTTATTCATATTAACTGAATTTAAAAAATATTCATATAGAGTTACAATGCTACATTACAAAATGAGTGACAGGTGAGACTATTTTGCAACGGGTATATTCTATTGGGCTAACGGGCCTCTTAATGGGCATCTTGCTAGGGCCCTGGCCCTAAAAAACACGACTCAAACCCTACCCATTAGGCTAGTGGGCTACTCAAGCCTGCCTACAAGCTGGGCGAGCCCCAAAGTTAGAGACCCTCATTGTACCGGTACTATCCAAGTAGAGAGGATTCCAATGTTGCTTCCTAGCTATTCCACTCCTTCCGATGTCCACAGAAACAAAGGAACATTATCAAACTTAACCCATATTGGGATATTAGCAAAATTGCTTTTGGAGAAATTCTCTTCCGGTTGGTTGGCATTTCTTTGGGCTTTTTTGTGAGGCCTAATCCAACACTCGTTCAAAAAGATGAGATATATTTATATTACATTTTTTGGGTTTTATTTGAATTATCTAACATTTTTCAAAAAATATAGACACCGAAACTAAGAAAATTCTACTATTAAATAGGGAAGTCCCCACAAGGTTTGTTAATATAATCATCTCCCTACTATTTCAAGGATCCTAGAAAATAAATAAAAATTTAAAAATTTGTTTTTAAAACATTTTGAAATTTTAATCAAAAAATATCGAAATATCTTAAAACACTAAAATATTTCGAAACATTAATAGAAATATGTCGAACAATTAAAACATTTCAAACTATTTCTAAGAGTTAAAATTTCGATTTAATCACTAATTTTTTTAACCCTATTAAAAAGGGACACATCTCGATCAATTCTTAATTTCTTCCCAATAACTTTGCACCGCACAATCAGATATTGTTTCAATTTTAAAAGAGTTAGTCCAGCTTATGTTAAGACCAAATTTGAAGGTGTTTTATTTAGGGGCGTCAAACGTGTCGGGTTAAACGGGTGAAAAACATATAAATCCGTACACGACACGTTTAATAAACAGGTAAAAAATCGAAACACGAACACGAATCGTTTAATAAACGGGTAACACAACACGACTCGTTTAACACGTTTAATTTTAAACGAGTTGAGTTTGCTTGGGTCGGGTTAATATGGTAAACCACTCGTTTAACTCATGTACCTGTTTACCACCCGTTTGACCCATTTAACACGATAAACCACCTATTTAACCATTTAACTGTTTACCATCCGTTTGACCCATTTAACATGGTAAACCACATGTTTAATCATTTACTTGTTTATTTTAAAATGTTGTATAACTTTATAAAACTAACAAACTAACACAAATAAATGTGATATTTAGATATACCACAACTTTACGCATTTTAATAAGAGCAACTCCAACCCAATTCTCCATTTTAGCTATTTAAAATATATTTAAATATTACATTTTTTATTTTAGAGAACTATTTTTTACAAATTTATTCCAACCACGTTCACTATTTTAGTTAACTATTTCACTTAGCTTTCACTAAATTCCAATAATTTAAAAAGATTGTAACATATATAGAAACTAGTCATAACCCGTGCCTGAAGACACGATAAAATATAAAATTTGAGCATCCAAAAAATCGATCCCATTATATCAATTTTTTTAAAAATATATTAATTATAAATTAATTAAATATTAAATTATTAAATATATGATAAAAATGAGTAATGTAATGTTTTTAGGGAATACATATATAAATAATTAAACATATGATATAAAAACGTGATGTGATTTGAGGTTTGAATCTGACAAAGAAATGATAGGTGAGGTAAGTAATTGGTGGTAGTTTTAAGAGAAAAAATATGACTGGGATAAAATTCAAATATATTCCTATTTTATTATATAGATAAAGAGATGGATAAAAAATTTAAAGAAACAGACAGCCATTTGGGTGAAATAAAAAATATAGAGGGTGGGAGAGTGGTTTGGAGAGATTTATTTAATATTTGATTAAATAAAATAGTTAAAAAAATAAAAATAAAAAGTGAATTGGAGTTACCCTAATCTATTTATGGGTTTGTCCAAATGCAACTTGATGTCGCCACTCGCCACATAGCTATCTTGCCACCAGCGTAATCCTTGACATGTCACACGCGTCTCAAACGTGTCAGAAGTAAATTAGACATACGAGGAAGAGTGCCCACGTGGCTTTCAACTGACAGGTGGCATCACCCACCCTCCTCCCCCAACCTCTACAAAATCTATATAAAACCATGCTTTGAACCTTCTTAACGCACACACTCGTACATTCGGATCAAGTTATTTTTCACGTTCGTACGTTTCGGATTTGTTGGATCCAAGTGTTTGTTTTGGGAAACGTTGAAACTTTGTTCTACCGCCTTTATATCTGACGCGATAGTTTTTTTTCCACACTACACATTTTCTGAGTTCTTAGTTGAGTAGAGAGAGATCTCTATCTATCGCAGACAATTCCCAATCCAGAACTCTAGTTTCCACAACCATGACAAGCAAGAAGAAGAGCGACAAGACATCCACCAAAAGTTTATGGGACTGGTTTCTACCCTTCCAAAAGAGAAAGGATGGACAGGTAAAGATCTCCATCAGTACCAAGGTTTTTGGTTTCTTGATCAACCCCCTTGAAGGAGTTATAACTCTCCAGCAATGCTTCAAGGAGGCTCAACCCACTGATGTTTTCTTGGTCACCTGTCCAAAATCAGGTACCACTTGGTTTAAAACCCTTCTTTTTGCCATAATGAACCGTGATCTCTATGATTATGATGATCATCCTTTGCTCACTACTAACCCCCATGCCTGTGTACCCTTTTTCGAGACCTATGCCATTGAAAATGCTACAAATCTGAGGCCAGACCTTTCTCTCTTGGCTACTCACATGCCTTATACTTGTCTCCCGGATTCGATACTAGTCTCTGGTTGTCGTATCGTTTATGTGTATCGGGATCCGAAAGACTTGTTTGTTTCTCTGTGGCACTTTGCAAACAAGATTAGATCCAAGGAACTACCAACCCTAATTCTAGGAGAAGCATTTGAGCAATTTTGTAGGGGGGTTTCCATAGGTGGACCATTTTGGGATCATGTGGTTGGGTATTGGAAAGCCAGCATAGAATGGCCTGACAGAGTGTTATTCACAAAATATGAGGACATGAAGAATGATCCACAACTTCATGTGAAAAAACTGGCTCAATTCATAGGTTACCCTTTTTCGATTAAGGAAGAAAATGAAGGTATCAGACAAAAAATATTGGATTTGTGTAGTTTCGAGAGTTTGAGCAATCTGGAGGTGAATAAGAATGGATTGATCCGCCTTGGCCAAGACATGGTGCTGGAAAACAAATCATTTTTCAGGCAAGGTAAGATTCAAGACTGGAAAAATTATCTAACAACCGAGATGGTTGAACGTATAGATGAAATCACAAAGCACAAGTTCAAGGAATTGGCTTGATTATATGATGATGCACAAATCGGTGTTGTACAAAATTAAAAATCAAGAATATGAATGAGAGTAATTAATGAGCAATTAACAAGTAATTAATGACAATTAAGAGCAAAAGCGGTAAATAGGCATTCAACACAAAGAATTATAGTGGTTCGGTCCGGGTGACTTACTTTACTATGGGAACGATAACGATGGTTTAGGTCTTGGACTTGGAGTGGGCTGGACTTGTGCTTGCATTTGAGTCAAGAGGATGTAAGAGGACCAAAGGCATCCTAGGGCAGTGCCTGACTTGGGTGACCTCCTGGATGACGCCCCAAATGCTTTGGGCATTGACTCTTGGTGTTTTGGGTGCTGATTTTTTGATGCCTTTTTGGGTTTTCTCATGAGGGGTTGACCTAGTTTCGATTGGGCTTTCCATTGGACTTTCTTGGCTTATTTGAATGGGGCTCGACGCAATAAAATTTGGGCTCATCAATATATATAATCTTTGTGCCTTAACGTAAATGAAAAATGATAAATGATAAATTTGAGAAATGTTGGCGACCATTGAATGAATCTATTTGAGACCATCAGATGAATTTATCGAATTTAACTCTGTTTTATATTATAGATATATTTATCGTTGGATCAAGAAGTATTGTGCTTAATTAAACTAAAATTCAAGTTAGGTTACTTTGTTTTTATCAGTCGCGCTTGTGTATGATCTCATAATGATTCTCCTTTCTTCTTCATCATTGTAGAATGACCAAACATATATAGAACAAATACAGAGAATTTATCGCTTTTCTAATGTGAAAAATTAAAAGTTATACAATTAACGAACATTCTGGGCCTGTTTGGTTATCATCTGTAGAATAATTTTTTGTTCTCAAAATTTTAAAAACACAAAATATCTGTTTTTTTAGCATTTTTATTCTCAAAATTTTCTAAAAAAATGAGATTTGAAACATAAAAACAAAAAACAACTAAAACTTGTTTTCACAGTTTTCTTTGAAAATTTTGAAAATACGGAGACAAGTTAAATGAGGTCTGCCCTTCGAGTCCCCTTAGCAGCAAAACATTTTCTTTTTCTTTTTTTCTTTTTTTTACTCTCCCTCTCTCCACTTTGCCCAGCGTCTTCTTCTTCTTCTTCTTTTTTTCCTCTCCCTCTCTCTATCTCCACAAAACACACGCACACACACACAAATGGCTGTTCATCTCCACCGGCTATTCATTTTCTCTTCTCTCTCTTTGTCTCTGTGCAATAGATCTGTATGAACACAGATCTATGTATATATATATATACATATGTATTGTGTGATATATATATATATATATATATATATATATATATATATATATATATATATATATATATTTGTGTGTGTATTTATATACACTAGTAATGCACCACGTGCGTTGCACGTGAATAATTTGTATATACAAAATATTAATAAAAAATATTAGGTATATGTGTACTTACATTAAATATCATTTTAAGTTTATCAAAATTATATTTTTATTGCTTATATTATATTATAGAATTTAAAAATATTGTTTGTTTCCAACGATTCATTGTTTTAAGTATTAAAGAAAAAGATAAAAATAATTTATTTCAAATTCATTTGATGATATTTCAACTTATAATTTAATGAATTAAATAAAATTAATGTTTAATATTTTAATTAACGCTTAATATAATTAGTTAGGTTAATAGGGATAAAATATAGGATTAATAACACTTTAGTTTTCTAAAGTTTGCGTTTTTTATCAGTTTAGTCCTCAGCATATAAATTTTGTCAATTTAGTCCCTAAAATATTTAATTCTTGTTTAAATGGTCCCTAGCTAGATGGTTAATTAAGTTTTTTGACGAAATAATCACATTTTATTACTACAAATAGCATCACGTGATCACTTCTATAAAAAAAACTTAACAGATTGTCTATATATGGATTATTTAAATATTAACTAAATACTTTAAGGACTAAATTGACAAATTTGATACAATGAAGACCAAACTAACAAAACATGCATATTTTAGGGACTAAAAATACTATTCACCCTAAAATATAATATACTACTCTATAATATATATTTTAAAAAAATATTAAAATTCTAAAATTCAAGTTATACTTAAAAATACAATATAATTTATTTATATAAACTCTTAATAAAATATATAAAGTTTATTGTAATTGAAGAATTATGTTGATTTAACATAAATTATTTAAAAAAAACTACATAAAAGATTATTTTTTATCTTAGAAATTAAATGTTTGAAATTTTGGATGAAAGAAATATACATATGTAAGGATAATGTTATCTTTATATTTGCAATGAGTATTATTAAATTCATACAGTTTTTTTTTTAAATTGAACGTTTTATTAAAAATTATAGTGATGCTTATATGTTTTAAATGTAACGTAGTCAATTAAAAAGTTTTATAGATACTGATATTTATACATAGTAAATAAATAATTAAAAGAGATATTATGGGTAATTTGGAGATTTAAACATATAAGTATATGATGACAATTTAGATATTCAAATATTGAAAGATTGCGTGATATTTAGAATATTTTATAACAGTAAAATAATTAATCAAAAAAATTTCATGCTAAGACAAAAGTTTCATTCTTTAATAGTAGTATAGATGGAAAAAAATACATGCATATAGTCATAATGTTATCTATATATTTGAAAAAAGTATGATTTATTGATGAAGTTTTTGACTCTTTATTGAAAACTATAATGATGCATATATTTTTTTAAGAGTAATGTAGCCAATTAATTTTTTTTATAGATATTGATATTTATACATAGATAATAGAGAAGTAAAAGAAATATTATAGGGTAAATTGGAGATTTAAATACATAAGGACATGATTGTAATTTAGATATTTAACTTTAAAAAGATAATGTGGTAATTAAAATTTTTTATAAGGGTAAAATAGATAATCAAAAGTTTTTACTTAAGGTACTTTTATTAGTAGTATAGATATGTGTTGTGTGATGTATGTGTGAGTATATATATATATATATATATATATATATATATATATATGGCTGTGTGTTTTTGCTTTGTGAGAAGGTAATAGAGAGATAGTTGTTGTGTGGGGGAGATAATGGACAGAGAGAGTTGTTGGGTGAGAAGTCGTTGGACGTGACTGTCTGGTGTAATAAAATTTTTTTTTTATTAGAAATGATAAATTAAAAATTAATTTTATGAATTATTATCTAAATAAGTTTTACTATTTTTTGTTCTTTAAAACTATTTTCAAAAATATATAATAAAACAGGTTTTAAGATCTAAAAATTTTTAAAAATATTTTCTTAAAACTCTTTTCAAAAATAATTTTCAAATACTATTTTTTGAAATACAAACCAAATAGGCTCTTTCTCTCCTCAACTTTTCTTCTCAGTTCAAGGACAATGGGATTTGCTCTTTTCAAATTATTGTAGTTCGTTCATCTCTCTGTAAAATCTTAAGATTTCCAAACTACATTAAGTAATCAATTATAAGTCCAAATACATTAAAATGGCTATTTTCAAGTAAAATTTGAATTTTTTAGACTTTTAATAATATTTATAATACATACTCTAGTTCACATAATTAATTCATAATTATAGTAAAGTTTTTTTTTTTGTAAGATTATAGTAAGGTTCAATAAGATTAGAATAACGAAAATTAGTTTCAACCCATTTCATAGTTTATAAAAGGAATTCTAATCCTCTGAATTTTAAAAAAAATAATAATAAATGTTTTAACCCTCATTAAAAATAATCAGTTTCGATCACAAAATTCTAAAAAATTAAGTTTTAAATTCTAAAAAATTAGTTGTATATATTATGATAACAACTAATTCTTGGAATCCGATAAATTTTTTACAATTATTCAACACACTATGAATGATACAACCTTTGTTGATCAATCATTTGCTCATTTCATCGGCATCAATCATCTTAAACCGTTAATTTTATTTGGTTGTGTGCACTACTAGTAATTGAGACGGAAGAGCATTTTGATTGAGTTTTTCATACTTGGTTTAAAGCAATGAGTGGACGAACTCCAAGAGCAATAATCACCAATCAAGACCCAGTTATGGGAGCAACAATAGCTAAAGTTTTTCTAGATGCACATCATAGGCTAGGTATGTAGCATATATAATGTAGAAGGTTCTAGAAAAATTGGGAATAATACACGGGCAATACCCTTTTTTTAAGAAAGATTTTAATGATTGTTTACATGAAAGATTTTAATGATTGTTTACATGATACCGATACAATAGATTAGTTTGCGTCTCGGTGGAGCAATTTGTTTGAGAAGTACAAACTTAAAAGACTATGATGGACTATGTTACATGTACGACTTCTATGATCGATGGGAATTCGTATTTTTTAAGAAATCAAGTCGATAACTCAGCTTATATGAATAAATTATTTGATGGTTATGTCAACTTACCCACAACGTTGTATGAGTTCTTTAAATAGTGGTTTGGTCAATGTGATCTACGTTCATTTTTAATAACGAGGGTCGCCGGATATTTTATTATCTCTGGTGTAGGGGGAGAGCAAAGGATTACAAGTTTTACGAGGGGAGAGAGAATTATGTTCAAATGAGTCTGATGCTCCTCAAATATTGGTGAGGCTTATAATTTATAGTGACTTAGTGTAGTAATTGAATAGTTAGTCTAGCGGTCATAACAGGTTTGGGTTGTTTAATAGTCATAACGGATTGATGTGACTTTAACGGTAATTAAATAGTTCTGCAAGCTCTCCTCTTCTCTCCTCAACGGGCAAAGAAGTTATGATGTTCTCTAAAAGACTTGGTCAAAAGATGAGGGAAGGTTGACTCTCTTCTGAGTGGTGAATGTAGGCTCCTGGATGCTCTCTTACTCTAAGGTGGAGAGGATGTTTTTGGATGACCCTTACTCAAAGGTGGTGGAGGAGGCTTTTGGATGAGCTCATAGACGATCCTGCATGCTCCTCTACTGATGTAACTCCTGGAATTTGATGAGCTTGATC